CATCAGAGAATATTAACAACAACTCTATGCACATAAACTAGTAAACCTGGAAGAAATGGATAAATTCCTGGACTCCTGTGTCCTCCCAAGCCTAAACCAGGAGGAAGCTGAAACTATGAATAGACATACGAGTAGGCAAGGACTTCATGACCAAAACACCAAAAGCATTGGCAACAAAAGCCAAAATAGACAAATGGGACCTAATCAAACTCCACAACTTCTGCATGGCAAAAGAAGCTGTCATTAGAGTGAATCAGCAAACAACAGAATGGGAAAAAATTTTTTCAGTTTACCCATCTGACAAAGGGCTGATATCCAGAATTTACAAAGAACTAAAACAGATGTACACAAAAAAAAAAAAAAACAAGCCCATTCAAAAGTGGGCAAAGGATATGAACAGATACTTTACAAAAGAAGACATATATGAGGCCAACAATCATATGAAAAAATGCTCATCATCCCTGGTCATTAGAGAAATGTAAATCAAAACCACACTGATATACCATCTCACGCCAGTTAGAATGATGATCATTAAAAAATCTGGAGACAACAGATGCTGGAGAGGATGTGGTGAAATAGGAACACTTTTACACTGTTGGTGGAAGTGTAAATTAGTTCAACCATTGTGGAAGACAGTGTGGCTCTTCCTCAAGGACCTAGAAATAGAAATTGCATTTGACCCAGCAATCCTATTACTGGGTATATATCTGAAGGATTATAAATTGTTCTACTATAAGGACACATGCACATGAATGTTCATTGCAGCATTGTTTACAATAGCAAAGACCTGGAATCAACCCAAAGGCCCATTGATGATAGACTGGACAGGGAAAATGTGGCAAATATACATCATGGAATATTATGCAGCAATAAAAAACGATGAGTTCATGTCCTTTGTAGGGACATGGATGAACCTGGAGAACATGATTCTCAGCAAACTGACACAAGAACAGAAAATGAAATACCTCATGTTCTCACTCATAGGCGGGTGTATAACAATGAGAACACATTGACACAGGGAGGGGAGCACTACACACTGGGGTCTGTTGAGGGGCATAGGGGAGGGACAGCAGTGGGTGGGGAGTTGGGTAGAGATAGCACGGGGAGAAATGCCAGATATAGGTGAAGGGGAGGAAGGCAGCAGATCACACTGCCACATGTGTACCTATGCAACTATCTTGCATGTTCTCCACATGTACCCTAAAACCTAAAATGTAATAAAAAAAAACACACATTTAAAAATAAAGCATCAAAATAATATAAAACTAAAACTATAAAATATATACCTAAAACTGTTAAAGAAATTAAAATCAGATATCTAATGGTTTTTGGGAATCATTATTTATATTTATGATAAAGGGAGAAAATATACTGTGAAGCTCAGGGAACTTAAGCTTTAAGACCCCTCATTTGCTCAGGGCTGAAAACAGGCCTTGCCAGTGGATTTACATAATATTTTGGTAAAAAATTTTTCAAAAGTGAGATATTTCATCCATAGTCAGTTAACATAATTGTCTCTTTCAATTCCTACTTTCCTCAGTCATGCCTTCCTATTTTCAGGCAATTCTAGGGAATCCCAGATATTTTGGTGACCCAGGTAAGGAGAAGTTGAGGTGGAATCACATTTAGCTTGAGTTTAGTGAGATGTATTTATATAGTCTTTATGGTATGATATAGTTCACTGACACTCATGTAGAGTTATTACTAGCTATATGAGTATACAAATGCCTTCCAAGAACACTTCTGCACTACCTTTCCACCCATTTGGATTCATTCAGAGTCACAAGACAGTGGATGGAAACATGTGTAGTGGAGAAAAAATGCTTTGAAATGTAATGAAGCAGGAGCTAGGCTTTGAGAGATTCTTCCAATCTTTAGACCTGAAAAACTGAAAGCTAAACACCTCATTCCCACAGATAATGAAACAAAAGAGAAATGTGGAACAGATTTGATAAAAGGGCACATACAATTATAAACATACCTTATTTCTTTTTCTTTTACATGGAGTAATAGGAGGTAGAATATATAATAATTCCTGTTTTAGGGCTCAAACCTATATCATTACAATAATCAGTGAGTATATGTGTGTGAGAGGTCACACAATATAAATCCAAATATCAAAAATACCAAGAAATTTTAGTCAAACACAATAGAGGAAAGATTGCATTATCTGTTCTTGAAACAGAGAAATATTACAAACTAATTGTTTCAAAAAGTATTAAAACATTGTTTAATGAGCAAACAGGCAAAATATAAAGGCCAAAAAGCATTATGGGGTATGTTACTCAGTTAATAACTTATTTTTATGTATTTTGAGATGTTTGTGGTATTTGTCAGCTTTTTAAAATTTGTATTTTTATTATTCTAAAATAACGCTCATACTATACTAGTTTTTATGTTTCAAATTTTGTAGGAAATTTTCCCAAACTATATAAGCTTTAAACACCACAAAACCCTCTCTCCAGGGTCCAAAACAAAAACAGAAGAAAACAGTAAATATGAAACCATTTAATCATTTAATAATGCTATTTTGATGACAACATTATACAAACTTAAACTTCTGATAATGTAGAGCAAATAAATTTGGTGAAAACAAATTTTTAAGAAAAGCACATTGCTATATTTTAAGTTATATCTGCATTGTTTTTCTGTATGGTTAATTTAAAACAAAGTAAAACCATTTATAAATATCCAAAACTTTAACTTTTATCATTGTCTTTATATTTTTCTGTTCTCATGTCACTAATAAAGACATACCTGAGACTGAATATTTTATAAAGGAAAAAGGTTTAATTGACACAATTCACCATGGCTGAGGAGGCGGCAGGAAGCTTACAATCATGGCGGAATGGGAAGCAAACATGTTCTTCTTCACAGGGCATCAGGAAGGAGAAGTGCAGAGAGAAGTTGGGGAAAAGTCCCTTATAAAACCATCAGATGTTGTGAGTGAGAACTCACTCACCATCACAAGAACAGCATGGAGGTAACCATTCCCTTGATTCTATTACCTCCTACTAGGTCCCTCCCACGACACATGGGAATTATGAGAACTATAATTCAAGATGAGATTTGGGTACAGACACTGTCAAACCATATCAGTCTCAAAACTGCCTTCATCAATAAAAAAGAAGCCAAATGTTAAATTACAACTCTCAACCTCACTAGAGGTAAAAGTAATTAGTGTGCTAAAGTTTATGGTTCATGGGATTATCTGATTAATAAATTTTATTCAGAAAGGTATAAAATATAATAAATCTCTATTTAATCCACAAATATAGAAATCAATACCCAGTAATTGAGTATAAAAGAAAAATATTAGAATAATAATGTGAATCAAATAATTTAGATGTGCAGCATTTCTAAAAAGGACCTTCCCTGAGAAATAACAAGATGGATGAGAAATGAGCTTGACTGCTGTCTAATACACATTGGATTTTCCTCCTTGATTTTTGTGTCAAAGGCTTATGAGTTCCTGAAGAAGGGATATAATCTTTTCTCCATTGTTTTCCTTTTATTTTGTCAATTAACATAATTGCAGTACATCCAAGTGAAAATTTCCATCAGGCAGCTGAAAGTGAAGGAGAAGTACTCAGGAGAGAAGTTGAACTTGAAGATAAGGATCTGGCTGTCACTCGCTTTGAGACTGCCAAAGAGGGGAATAGTAAGAAACACCAGAAGAAGGCTGCTGAAAGGCTCAGAAGTCATTCTATTTGAGAAATAAAGAAAAGTCAAAGAGGTCATTTAAAAAAAAAAAAAACGAGGAAAAAGAGAGATAAGCAGGAAAGCAGGTTATAGCAGCATCTCATAGACCAAGGAAGAAAGCACATTTCTAAATACAAACACACAAAACAGGAATTGATCTACGATGTAAAACTCTGCAGAACTGTGACAAAGAACAAGCACCAAAAGATGGGGCAGGATGGTGGAAAAAAAAATGTAACTCATTGTTAACTTTATGGACTACAGTTATAGCAGTGTAGCCACAGATCAAATCACAAGCATGCACAATGCAGTAAATACTGGAAGTATATACAAATTATTCCCTGAGGACATTTATTTGGGATTAAAAGAAAGGATGTTTTTAAAATCAGGATGGTGGCCAAAGGAGAAGGCAATTTTCTTTTGCTTCTTTTTATGTGGTTGTTTGATGTCACTGGAGTACTTTCAAGTAGACCTGCCCACCGGAAGGACCCTGGAGAGAAGCCAGGCCTGGAGATGAGCTAGCTGTCATCTTCATGGAGATTGCCAAGGAAGCGAATGATAGAAACTTAAGAAAGGGCTGCTGACAGTCTGATAAATCACTATATTTGAGGAGTGGAGTGAAAAACAGAAATAAAAGTTTGTTTTTAATTGTGGCTATTTTAAAGATAGAGGACATCTGTACATATGTTTAGGCAACAACATTTTATAGAAAGACAAAATGCAAACCAAGAAAAGAAAAGGATACAATCGAGAGAGCCAGTCACATCCAGAGAACACACAAGAAGATGAATTTAAGAGCAGTGAACCTATTTCAAAAATTTGGTCATGTGTTCACCAGTGTTAATTTTACTATCAGTTATACAAACATACATTACAAGCTATTATATATAGATCAAGAATCACATATAGTTTTTAAAAGAGTAGGAAAATACACGTGACCTCGAGAATCACTTTTGACAGCAGTTGGAGATGCTAGTCCTCTTCTCATTTCATTGTCAGCAGGACCCATCCCCATCCATACCCAGAATATAAAGCTAAAGGCCTGTTCTGCCCTAACCTTGCCATGGCTCAAAAGAGGACTCCAGAAGGAAGGCTGGGAAACTCCTAAAACACTGAAAATAACCAACTCAAACACAACTTGAGATTTCTCATTTTTTTTTCCCTAAGTGAAAACAATACTTAAGAAACAATTTACAAACAAAGCATTTCCTTCATAAATACGTGCTTAAAGTACTGAATAAAGTCCCAAGAAACAAAAGCCATGGTGAACTGAGAAGGAGAGTCTAATTTTTACTTACATCTCTATAACTCATTTGCAGCTACTGCAAGTCATCTCATTTCTTTGCCTGTCAATATTCTCAGAAGTAAAATGAGCAGGTTGGATTAGATGATTTCTAATGTCCATTTCCACTGTAACTGTTCCTTTTTCCTCTATTATCTGTGAGTTTTGATCAATGCACACAAGCCTCTGCTTCCTAATAGCTGCAAATCTTGGGGTTCCACTGGGTGCCATCCTCAACAAAATGGCAGAGTTGGCTAGAAAGAGCCATGACTCACAAAAGTGCATTAATAAGCACTTCTGTAAATAACTTCATTGTGCTAAGCCCCAGATGTTGCTGATAAATATTAGCCAACTAAGCTCAAGAGGAGAAGGGGTCATTCAAGGAGAAGCACTTGTGTCTCAGAAAGTCAATGTGTAAATGATAAGCCACATATACCAGATTTGCACTGAGGAGGTAAAAATAAGTCAGCTTCTTCAAAGCAAAATAATTGCTTAAGCAGATTAACCACCCCGCCCACAAACCCTCAACACACACACATACAGTAATGGCACTGGCAAAACAACATTTATCTCTAAGTCTCAAGCCCAGCAACTGAGACCAGGTACAAGTGCCAAGTACTCAGTAATACATGGCAGAAAAAAACATGAGCCACATGAAAGTAAAGGGAAGCAGTGACTAATTGCTGTCACTTACATGCAATACAAAATGGGGCACTAGAGAAATGCATGCCCCAGAATGTCCTGACATGAGTAACAATTGCTGGAGCCCAGGAGAAAAGTTCTAAAATCTTCAAATGGCGATTTAATTTTAGTTCAGTAGTTCAGACTGAAAAGAGCACTGATAGTCTATCTGGTAAAAAGATAGTCATGATCAATACTGACTGGAGAGTAACAGTTAAGCATACCAATCTTTGTTGGGGTTTGCACTTGACCTGAGGTTCAGCAACATTCCTGTCTTTGAGGAGTTACAGCCTAACAGCATACAGCATTGCAATGTTTTCAGATGCCACTTGGATTAATCTAGTTAGGCTACACTTATGCTGGAGTAACAAACATCCTTTGAAATCTAGGGACACTATAAAAGTATATTTCTTGCTTGTGCAAAGGTTGCCATAAGTCAGCTTCTGAGCAGCTGTATTCCATGCGGTGACTTGGTGATTGAAGCTCCATCTTAATATGTGGCCACCACACTTCCCAGAGAGAAAAAGGAAGTTGGAAACTGCACTGGGGTTTTTGCTGCCCCAACCTGTAAATGCAGCATGCCATGTTCTCTCATAGGCCACTATCTAGAACTAGTTGTTCTGGGAGATTAAAAATACAGTCTCCCAAGAAACCAGCAGGGGAGGAGAAGTGGATTTTGGTGAACTTGAGTAATATCTATCATGGCAGCGCTGGTGAAAAACATATACCCTCATATTCCTACAGGAAATTAATAAAGACTTAAAGCCAAGACTGTACCAGCTCATGCCAGTAGCCCTATTCTTCCTCTATTTCAATTGCCTACAAAATGCATTGGCCTCCTTTTACTAGATGTATTAAAGAGTTAACTGTAAATAAACATGGTTGGGGAGCAGGATCAAAAATTAGACTGAAAGAGAAAAGCCAGGATGAGCTATTTCTAGCCAAGTCCTTTCATGTTGTGCCATTACCCTTCAAACTGAACAGCTGAGCCCTTAGGCTCCTCACAGTCCAATGATGACAGAGCAAAGATAATATTCATCAAAGAAGCAGCAGGGGTAGGGAAACTGAAGGGACACCACCACCTCCCAGAGACAAGGACCAGCAGAAAACCCCTTAGTTTCTACATACTTTAACACATGCACATACCTCGTATGACAAGTGTGACCACTAATATGTACACCTTTAGTTGAGATCTCTTTGGAAACCCGGATTTACAAGTTACAGCCTACTTGACATCTTCTCTTACATATGACTAAGAAATTACACAACTGACATGGTCAAAGTGAAACTTGTGATTCCCCCACCACCCAAGGCTTCCCTTTCTCTCTCTCTCTCTCACCAGTTTTCCCTATTTCACTAATACCCACATCTAGTTAGCTGCTCAAACCACAAACTACTGAGTCATCCTTAATTACTCTCTTTACCTCCATAGGTTACACCTAATCAAGTATTATTAGTTCTATCTTGAAAACAGATGTCAAATTTGTCCACCAACTGACACCATCCTGGCTCAAGACACCATCTCCTCTCAACTGTGTAAGCTACAAAAATCCCTTTCTCATCTCCCTGTTAGTGTGCTTGCTAGTTCTTAATCAGCTCTCTGTGGAGCAGCTATGGTCTTCTCTTTATAAATCCCTCCTCTACGTAAAACCTTTCATTGATCTTCCATTGCACTAAGTATAAAACTCAGATGAAACCACATGATCTCCCCAATATCATTCTGAGCCATTTGGAAACTTGCACAATGATCTTCTTTCTTTTCTACATAGGCTATCTCTTTTCCTACATCAGGGTATTTATAAAGGCAGATCCGGTGCCCATCTTCCTGCACAGCTGCTCCTTTTTAACATTTCAGTTTCATCTCAGAAAACACCCTTCCTCTTTCATTCCCCTGTCCTCTACTCCATATTTATTTTCAATCTCAGTTTCTCAAACCCCAGTTGGTTTCCTTCCAAATATATAGGGATAGCATGAGGAGAAATACCTAATGTAGATGACAGGGTGATGGATGCAGCAAACCACCATGGCACATGTCTAACTATGTAACAAACCTGTACATTCTGCACACATACCCCAGAACTTAGAGTATAATAAAAAAAAAAGAATTTGCATTATAGTACTTGTTTGAGATACAGTTACCCAAATAGAACAGAAACCCCATGAAGGCAGAACCCACTTGCTCAATATAGTATTACCAGAAGGGGACCTAATATATATATACTTTTGAATATAGAATTGTTTGTGTATTTTTAAGGATATAAGAGCCACTCTCACTAAATAAAAGGGGGTTAAATGATACCTTTTATACTATGTCAGGATCCTGCATAACACAGGTCATAAACTAAACTGCCCATAGAAGCATAAAAAGAAGAATGAGTGAAGAGCACCAGGCATAGGCAGATCTAAACCAGACTGTCTACCCAAGGGGGGAGCTTCTTGACAACTCCAAATTTAGGTTGATCATTTAGGCATGCCTTTAGGCTTATCATTTCCAGATTTTTTAAATTTTTTAAGAGAAGTGAGAAATCTGGAACTTTTAAGTGAAAAATTTCTGGGTTTCTCCACTGTTATAAAAAATTAACTTTCAGTTTGGGTGAACATACAAAACTTGCTGGTAGGTTCAATAGGTTACAGGCAGCCAATTTGGAACCTCTGCTAAATATATATACATATTTTTTTCCAAACCACCTTGCCAAAACATTTCCTGAGGATAATAATGATAGCAAAAATAACAACAGAAAACTTATATAGTGCTCACTGTGTATCAAGTGCTATTCTAAGCACTTCACTTACAAACTCCAATGATCCTAATGACATCTCTCTCATGAGGTAGATATTATTCCTACTGGACATATGAAGACACTAAAGCAGAGAGAGGTAAGAAATTGGCCCCAGGTAAGTGGCCGAGCAGATATCAGACCCCAGAGCCTGTGTTCTTTACTATGGTATTTGAAGATAAGTCAAAAATAGTGAAATCACATTTTTTCTATAAACACCTTCTGCTTGATAAAAAATGCAAGCTTTGATGTTCTCCTGTCTTCCATGTGTTCTAGTTCTGGCTTATTAACTAACAACCTCTAGGAGGTTACTACCATCCAGGCATGGGTAGGGTTAATCCTTCATCTATTCAGTACAACATTAGAAAAGGCTGGTATCCAATTCTTCCCATCTCCCAAAATAGATAAGCTACACAATACACAAGTTAGACAAGTGAATATTTAGGATCTAACTGTGGAATTACATAAGGGACAAAGGGGCACTGAAGTTCAGCTTTCGTTGTGGTATTTGGCCAAAAATCTGCTATTGGGGTTTGGCTTCAGCCTTGGTTTAGATGCCACTTCAACTATATTTCTGGCAACCCTGAACTTGTGTGCAATTAATTATCATTTGATCACATCTAACTACTGCAGTATTATCAATAACAAATAGCAGGGCCCTTTGGTTTTACTGTTGCTTTATGAAAATTCCCTTTTTAATAAATGTAGATATTCTAGATGTGATTTAAACAGTGAAATGGTTCCAGATTGCTTTATATCTTAAAATCCTACCAGCAAGCTGAAGACTAAATGTATACTAACTATTACAAGAATTCATTCAAACAAATAGTTGAGTCCTTCCATGTACCAGGAATGGATTTTATTGTCAGGGACATGTCACAAAACATGGGATCCTGCCTTACAGTTTATGCTCTAGTGGATGATGATCTAAAATTATAATAAACATAAATTATATATGGTTTCAGAAAGTGATGAGTGTGTTAGTGAGGTAAAGAAATTACAGGACAGAGTCAGGAATCAGGGGCCCTGGAAGAGAGACTGACCATTTTAGCCTCACTGAGGAGGTGATACTGGAGCAAATATTTGATGGAAATGAAGGAGTGTGCCTTGTATGTCCCCAGGAAAGATGCTTCAAGGAAGAGGTAACAGCCAGTATAAAGGCTTAGAGGTGGGAAGGTACCTGGTTTGAACTAGGAGCAGCCTGAGCATAGAGGAGCCTAGTAGCAGATGACAGGAGGGACTTGCCGGGGCACAGATCATGCAGGACCTGGTAGGGCACTAAGAAGTTTGGCTTTAATTTGAGGAAAACAGGATGTGATTAGAGGATTATGAGCAAAAGAGGGACATGATCTGACTCACACATTAACAAGATCATTCTGGTTGCTGAATTGAGGACTATGTTTTGCAATGAATATTGTGAAAACATTGCTTAAGAGGAAAACCCTCAAGTGAAAAAAAACAAAATTAAGCCTGATTTTGAACATTAAAAAAGAAATCCTCTTCTTGTACAATCCAAAGCTTTGGATGACCATCAGCAAGATGGCAATTCCAGGAGTTAAAGATTTTACTGTAGTCAGTTATTACTGGAGAGTAGGACTTGGGGGGAATATCACCATTAACACTACTACTGTAATGGCAGAGGTTGATAAAAGCGTATTTTGCTCCTTCACTGACCTCAGTTGAAACAGAGCATATTTTCAGTATCATAAATATGCAATAGAACAACCACAGGAGCTGACAGCTGAGAAATTATTACCACTGCTCTATAATGCCAATTTAAAAAAATTCTGCTTGGTATAATTTTAATTAAGCTGTAGTAAATAGGTATTCTTATTAATATTTCAGATTTATTCTTATATACCAGACATTCATTTTACGATGGTGATATTCAACTTCAGCCAATACTGGTTTAACACTCAGTCATTTGGCATTTGGTCAAAATGCAAATTTGGTGCAGGTTGAGCAAACTTAATATAAAAATCCAAAATCAAAATTGCTCCAAAACCCAAAACTTTGAACAATGACATGATGCCATAAGTAGAAAATTCCACTCCTGACCTCATATTATGGGTCAGTCAAAAATTTGTGTCATGCACAACATTTAAAATATTATATAAATTGCCTTCAGGGTATATATATTACATGTATATGAAACACAAATGAATTTCATGCTTAGACTTGGATCCCATCTCCAAGATATCTAATTTGGATGAGATATAGAATTTGAATATGCAAATACTCCGAAATTTGAAAAAAATCCAAAACATGTCTGATCTTAGGTATTTCAGATCAGAGATATTCAGTCTGTATATGTCACAGACTGAATGTGTGTGCCTCCTAAAATGGACAGGTTGAAGCCCTAACCCCCAATAGGGTAGTATTTGAAGCTAGGGCCTTTGACAGTTAATTGGGAGTTTAGATTATGTTAGTGAGGGTGTGGACCCCCACAATGAGATTAGCATCCATAGAGAGGAGAGAGAGACACCTAAGCAAACTTTCTCTCCACCATTTGAGAACACAGTGAGAAGGTGGTCTCTGCAAGACAGAAAGAGCATCCTCTCTGGAATCAACTCAGCTGGCACCTTGATCTTGGATTTCCCAGCCTTCAGAACTGTGAGAAATAAATGTCTGTTGTTTAAGCTACCAAGTCTGCAGTAATTTGTTATAGCAGCTGAGGCTGACTAATACAGCATATATCTAAGGGTATGTGTGAAATCAACATTTGAAAACAATTTCTAATCCATACAGCCTTGGACATAATATTTCAGGTTTCACTTGGCACCTGTGCTCCAATTTTTCAGTTTAAGTCAGGAATTCCTAAGCACTTAAAGAGAAAGAGAAGAAGCTGCTTTCCATTTCCTTCAAATTTGGGCTAGATCAGGGAGATGGGGTAGAAATCATAGGAGCCCACTGATGCTTACAACAGTGACCCTGAAAAGAGCTGCAGAGGAGGGCTTAAGAGCCATGCCACCTGAAATCTTGGCCAATGCTGTAGGGTAGCAGAGGTCATAGGGCCCTATTCAGGCAATTAGAGACTTTTTTTTTAACTTTTAAGTTCAGGGGTATATGTGCAGGTTTGTTATACAGGTAAACTTGTGTTATGGGGGTTTATTGTAGAGATTATTTTGTCACCCAGGTATTAAGCCTAGTACCCATTAGTTATTCATCCCAATCTTCTCCCTCCTCCCGTCCTCCATACTCTCACAGGCCTCTCAGTATGTGTTATTCCTTTCTGTGTGTCCATGTGTTCTCATGATTTAGCTCCCATTTATAAGTGAGAACATGCCATATTTGGTTTTCTGTTCCTGTATTAGTTTGCTAAGGATAATGGCCTCTAGCTCCATCCTTGTCCCCACAAATGGCAGGATCTCATTTTTTTAAATATGGCTGCATAGTATTCCATCGGGTACATATGCCACATCTTCTTTATCCAATCTATCATTGATGGGAATTTAGGTTAATTCCATATCACTGCTATTGTGAATAGTGCTGCAATGAGCATATGTGTATCTTTGTAACAGAATGATTTCTATTCCTCTGGGTATATTATGCCTAGTTATAAGATGACCAGATCATATGATTTGGCTGTGTCCCCACCTAAACCTCACCTTGAATTTCCAAATGTTGTGGGAGGGACTCAGTGGGAGGTAATTGAATCATGGGGACAAGTCTTTCCCATGCTATTCTCATGACTAAGTCTCACAAGATCAGATGGTTTCAAAAAAAGGAGTTCCCCTGAACAACTTTATTTGCCTGCTGCCATCCATGTAAGACATGACTTGCTCCTCCTTGCCTTCCCCCATTATTGTGAGACTTCCCCAGCCATGTGGAACTGTATGTCTCATTAAACCTCTTTCTTTTGTAAACTGTGCAGTCTCGGTTGTGTCTTAATCAGCAGCATGAAAACAGACTAATACAATAAATTGGTATTAGGAGTTGGGTGTTGCTGAAAAGATACCTAAAAACGTGGAAACAACTTTGGAACTGGGTAGCAAGCAGAGGTTCAAACAGTTTAGAGGGCTCGGTTTTAGTGGGAAAGTTTGAACCTCCCTAGAGACTTGTTGAATGGCTTTGACAAAAATGCTGATAGTGACATGAACAGTAATGCCCAAGCTGAGGTCATCTCAGATGGAGATGAGGAACTTGTTGGGAACTGGAGCAATGGTGACTCTGTTACATGTTAGTAAAGAGACGGTGTCATTTTACCCCTGCCCTAGGGATTTGTGGAACTCTGAACTTGAGAGGGATAATTTAGGGTCTCTGGCAGAAGATACTTGTAAGCAGCAAAGCATTCAAGAGGTGACTTGGGTGTTGTTAAATACATTCAAGTTTATATAGGAAGCAGAGCATAAAAGTTCAAAAAATTTGTAGCCTGACAACATTATAGAAGAGAAAACCCCATTTTCTTGGGAAAAATTCAAGCTGGCTGAAGAAATTCATATAAATGAGGAACTGAATGTTAATCCCCAAGACAATGGGGAAAATGTCTCCAGTGCAGCCCCTCTCATCACAGGCCCAGAGGCCCTAGAGGAAAAAGCAGTTTTGTGGGCCAGGCCCAGGGTCCCCATGTGATGTGCATCTTAGGGACTTGGAGCCCTATATCCCAGCTGCTCCAGCCATGGCTGAAAGAGGCCAACATAGAGCTTGGGCCATGGCTACAGAAGTGCAAGTCTCAAGCCTTGGTAGCTTCCATTTGGTTTTGAGCCTGCCAGTACACAGAAATCAAGAACTGGGGTCCCGAAACCTCCATTGAGATTTCAGAAGATGCATGGAAATGCCTGGGTGTCCAGACAGAAGTTTGCCATAGGGGCGGGGTCCTCATGGAAAACCTCTGCTAGAACAATAAAGAAGAGAAATATAGGGTCAGAGCCCCAACACAGAGCTTTACTAGGACACTGTCTAGTGGAGCTATGAGAAGAGGGCCACCATCCTCAAGACCTCAGAGTGGCAGATCTATTGACAGCTTGCACCATAGGCCTGGGAAAGCTGAAGACACTCATTGCCAGTCTAGAAAAGCAGCCGGGAAGGAGGCTGTACCCTGCAAAGCCACAGGGGTGGAGCTTCCCAAGACCATGGGAACCTCACATCAGTGAGACCTGGAGTCAAAGGAGGTCATTTTGGAACTTTAAGATTTGACTGCCCTGCTGGATTTCAGATTTGCATGGGGCGCATAACCTCTTTGTTTTGGAGGTTTCTCCCATTTGGAATGGCAGTATTTACCTAATGCCTGTACCCCCATTCCAGTTTCTCCCATTTGGAATGGCAGTATTTACCCAATGCCTGTACCCCCATTGTATCTAGAAGTAACTAACCTGCTTTTGATTTTACAGACTGCATAGGTGGAAGGGACTTGCCTTGTCTTGAATGAGACTTTGGACTGTGGACTTTTGAGTTAATGCTGGAATGAGTTAAGTCTTTGGGGAACTGTTGGGAAGGCATGACTGCTTTTGAAATGTGAGGACATGAGATTTTGGGGAGTCCAGGGGCAGAATGATATGGTTTGGCTGTGTCCCCACCAAAATCTTGAATTCTTGAATTCCCATGTTTTGTAGGAGGGACATGGTAGGAGGTAATTGAATCATGGGGGCAGTCTTTCCCATGCTGTTCTCAGGACAGAGAATAAGTCTCATGACACCTGATAGTATTTAGCTCTCTCTTTGGCTGCTGCCATCCATGTAAGTCATGACTTGCTCCTCTTTGCCTTCTACCATAATTGTGAGACCTCCCCAGCTACATGGAAGTGTAAGACCAATTAAACCTCTTTCTTTTGTAAATTGTGCAGTCTTGGGTATGTCTTTATCAGCAGCATGAAAACAAACGAATATATTGGGTGATATGGTTTGTCTGTGTCCACACCCAAAACCTCATCTTGAATTGTAATCCCCATCATCCCCACATGTTGTGGGAGGAACCTGGTGGGAGGTAATCGAATTATGGGGGCTGTTTCCCCCTTTCTCTTCCTGTGATAGTGAGTCAGTTCTCACAAGGTCTGATGGTTCTATAAGCAGCTGGCATTTCCCCTGATGGCACTCAGTCTCTCCTGCTGTCCTGTGAAGAGGTGCCTTTGCCATGATTGTAAGTTTCTGAAAGCCTCCCCAGCCAAGAAGAACTGTCAGTCAGTTAAATCTTTTTTTTTTTTTTTTTTGAGATAGAGTTTCGCTCTTGCTACCCAGGCTGGAGTGCAATGGCACAATCTCGGTTCACCGCAACCTCCACCTTCTGGGTTCAGGCAATTCTCCTGTTTCAGCCTCCTGAGTAGCTGGGATTACAGGCACATGCCACCATGACCAGCTAACTTTTTGTATTTTTAGTAGAGACAGGGTTTCACCGTGTTGACCAGGATGGTCTCGATCTCTTGACCTCATGATCCACCCGCCTCAGCCTCCCAAAGTGCTGGGATTACAGGCTTGAGCCACCGCGCCCAGCCCCTAAACCTCTTTTCTTCTCTCTCTCTCTCTCTTTTTTTTTTTTTTTGAGATGGAGTTTTGCTATTGTTGCCCAGGCTGGAGTGCAGTGGTGTGATCCTGGCTAACTGCAACCTCTGCCTCCTGGGTTCAAGTGATTCTCCTACCTCAGCCTCCTGAGTAGCTGGGATTACAGGAGCCCAGCTGGGATGACAGGTGCCCACCATGCCCAGCTAATTCTTTTGCATTTTTAGTAGAAACGGTGTTTCACTCTGTTGGCCATGCTGGTCTTGAACTCCTGACCTCAAGTGATCCACCTGCCTTGAGCTCCCAAAGTGCTGGGATTACAGGCATGAGCCACTGAGCCTAGCCTAAACCTTTTCTCTTTATAAATTACCCAGTCTTGGGTATTTTCTTATAGCAATGTGAGAACAGACTAACACCCTGGGTCAAATGGTATTTGTTTTTTGGTCTTTGAAGAGTCGCCATACTGTATTTCACAATGGTTCTTACATATAAGTGAAGTATAGATTGATACAAACTGCAATAAGGAATTTGCTTGGTCTCAGTGACAACATAGAGTAAACTTTTGAAGGTGAAGGGTAATGGAATGGCTTTGGAAGTATCCCTTGCCCACTGTATAGATAATAGGCCACTTGTACCAATCCAGAAAAGCATTCTCTTGATATCATCAACAATTACAGAACTCAGTAAGACATCCTTCTGCTCACTTGTGGAGGAGCTAAAGATAATGAAATAACTGTGAGGCAAGAGATATAAACCCAGAGGCAAGGGGCTTCTGTATTACATGAACTGGCTTATTCATTCATTTATCAAAAACTTAATCTTTTTATTATGTGCTGGACACAGTAGCAGGCATTGATATTACAGCAGTGAACAAGACAGACGAGATCACTGCTCTCAAATAGTTTAAATTCTGAGTGAAGAGACAGAAAAAAAACAAGATGATTTCAGACCAGGAAAAGTTATATGCAGGACAACAAAACAAGTGATGTCAGAGAATGTGACTGGGAATTCATTTAGTTAGGGTGGTCAGGAAAGACCTCTTGGAGAAGCACATTTGAGCTAGGACATAAATGACAAGGAACTAGCTGAACAATAATCAAGGGGAGAACATCACAGGCAGAAGGGATGGCAAGTACCAATAATCTCCAAAGAGAATCACTTTAGTAACTTTGTAGTTTAGGTGGATAAACTCAAATGAATCTGGTGGGCTCTGATACACGCTCTTGAACACCACCTTCCTTTTACATTGTCAAATGGCATACCCTGTAGTCTTACTCCACCAGACAAATGCTATTAACCAAGTGGCTCCAAGCAGTTTTTATTTCCTATAGAATTGTGAGCACAAAAGAGTGAAAAGCACTGTTCATGTGTTGGATGAACTGTGTTTTAGGTAGTCTGTGCCACTGCTAGCTCTAAGATCTTTGTGAAGTCATTCAGTCTCATCTCCCTGTAAAATAAATTAGATGGTCAAATGCTCTCTAGGTTTTCTTCTTTGTTGTTTATGCAATGAACCTATCGCTTAAATATATCCTATTAATTTCATACTTTTCAGAGCTTAACATGTTAGTAATAAAAGCTTACCTCTTCAGATACAAGTTTATTGTAGTTTTGTTTGAGTTCTGTCCAGGAGCTCAACATACATGTACTGGGGTCCTGGAACTCACATAGCATGAAGTCATACTTGCTTGTCTCTTGCTCTGACCCTTATGAGAATTCTTAAGAAAGTACATCTCATTATGTTTCTCATGCATTGTGTCCTTTCCTATCATTGGTGACATTAAACTGGGTTGGCAGCTTTTTTTGGAGACATTTGTGCTCCTTGAGCCAAGAAATACAGATAGTCAAGAATTAGATCATTCTATTCCTAAATTGCAACAGACCTTCTCAAAGGCAGCTAAGCAATGTAATTTGATAAAGGTTAAGTACAGACCACCCTTCATCTCTTAACCTAAGTCTAAGTTATTTTTTTCTCTCTGTTTTAATCTCAGATTAATGGTTCCTGCTTACAAATGTCCACAAGTTGCCCTGCAGTCAACTCTCATTTATCCGCCAGTGGCTTATCTAAAGCACCTAGCTTTCTCCTCCTCCTGCCTCCAGCACCAAGTTCCAGGCCAGCTCCTTTAAACTCTGTGCCAAAGAATTACAAACTAAATCTAATATTAGCCTAATGAGAAAAGACTATCTGCTGCCAAAGATTCACATAATACATCCCAAAGCCAAGTGTAGGCAATTATTCACTGTTTTAGATGTTGGCATTGCTTCTCCCTTATATAATACAGCAATCAAGATTTGCTGTTTTCTCCCTGAGGAGTAACAAATACATGCAGGATTTTAACCTCTTCTTCTGCCTAGTTGGCCAGATTCTCAGTGTAACAGACTATATTTTCTTTTCAAATAAATGGATGATTTGTATTATTTCATGTTAGGAGCACAAAAACCCTGAATTTAACAGAGAGAGTTATATCTTCCTCCAGATTATTAGCCAGAAACTAAGTTTTAGTGAGTCATTTACATCCTTGGGTTTCTCAGCTGTAAAATGGGGATACAGATTTTATAAAGAAAAGGTACGGGAGAGGCATGCAAATACAAGGAACACTCAAAGAACGCTGACTCCAGGAATTAGCACTGTGACAGGAAAAAAAAAAAACAAACAGAAAAACAAGGATGATTAACCTTATGAAACCCATATTTGACAGGCATAAAAACACAGCAAGGTTTCCTCATGAACACCTAGAAAATCAAGTCTAGAAGTCAAGAATTCCCAACGTCATGTTTAGTCCACTTGTAAAGACACATTATTGTATTCCAGGATAGGAAACAGATAGGATACTGATGGGCTGATGGGCTGATCTTATTACATAGCCAGAGTTGCCATACAATCTCAAATTCCAACCATCAGAGCATTAGGGAACATCAATTTCAAAAGAAACTCTCCAGTATTTTGACTTTTTTTTTAGTGACTGAAGCACTTGTCCACTCAAGCCCAAGGATGAGGATCAGAGAAAATATCAACATAATTCCATTTTACATCTTATTCCTATACCCAGAGAACTGCAATGGTTTTAGAGAAGCAATGTCTAATAGGACTTTCTGCCATAATGATCATGTTCATGTCCACACTGTCCAAAGCAGCAGCCCCTCAAAACATGGGATAATGAACACTTGAAATGTGGCTGATATGACCAAAGAAATAATTTTTTCATTTTATTCCATTTAAATAAATCTGAATAGCCACATGTACTAGTGGCTATTGTATTGAACAATGAAGGTGGAAAGTAAACCCATGGTACTCACTCCAACATTCAAATTCCATCACAGTTTGGTCCAAACCTACTCTTTCAGACTTGATTTCTGCCATACAAATTCTGACTTGAAGAGACTGATGTTGAACCCACCTGAGCATTTCTGCTGCCATACCTCAGTTCAACGTGCTTAGACTTCATGGCTCCAGGCACCCTCCATTCTTAGGGCTACATATTGGAATTTATCCATACTTCGTAGCACTGGTCAAGTTCTACCTGTACTAGAGTACCCTCCCTTGCAGTCTTGTTCTGACTGCTCTGTAAGTAAAGGGTTAATCAGTCTCAGGGCTGGCCTGTCTGAGAAGGACTTCAGTTTCCCATAGTGCTGGTTTTTTGGAAACTGCTATGTGGAACCACTCCTGGTCTTCAGGAGCTGTGGCTTTGTCTTGAGTCTACATTACTAGAATGGTATAAATGAATGGTGTAAAAAAGAGGCTGAGCCTTTTATATATCAAAGAGACTCATCCTCACCTGGACTCTCAACTGTGGCAGCTGTGTGGGTGATGGGTCAAAAGAAGCTGTGTACTTGGATAACTTCTGGGCCTCCTAATGAGATGAAAATGCTTTGGTAACTATATTTCTTGCCTGTGCCCTGCTGTAAAGCTAAGTAGATATAACTGTTTTCCTCTTAAACTGGTAACTATAGCTGTGGCATGGCATGGCATACACATTCTCTCTGAATTTCCAAGTACCCACAAGCATTTAGGACTTATCCTGATAAGTATTTTTTGCAGATCCGCATTTCAATTGGATTCATTTTTTATTTCAACTAGACTCTACTATCCTTCCCCATAAGACTTGCAAGTGATCTGGGTACTCTATTGGTTTCTCTTTGGTCTGTAAGAGCTGGAGGCAACTTGTAGCCAGACAAGCTTTTTCTGGAGTAAGGGTTCTGAGTCTTTGAGGAATTGGGGCTAAGGGTCCCAAAATGTCACTTTCTAAGATAGAGAATTATTTTACCCAAAATGAATATATAGACACACACACAAACACACACACACACACTTTTTAAAACGATGAAAGCAATACAAATTTCAGTGTCAACAGGGTAGATTAAGCACATGCCACAATCCTCCCCTAACCCACATATACACATGGACTCTAGCATTGCCTATTACAGATGAGGTCACTAGGCTACTCTGAAACAGGTGGTATGCTGAGGAATTGGTTTCAAAGCCAGCATGGCAGGAGTCAAAGTGGCAGGGCCCAGAGGTACCCCAGGTTCCCTGTGAGAAGTCTGCATATGGAGGAACTTGATTTGCATAATCAGTCAGAAGCAAACAGAATGTCAACTTGAAACATTAGTGTAAAACCTGGCCAGAGCTCTCACATCCCAGAGTTCAGGGGAAGATAGATGTATAAAGACCTCACCAGAAGCCTCTACAATCCAAGGCACACATAGGCAAAAAGACCCCACAATAATTTACTCCTCCGCCAAATAAACCACCAGCAAGAATTAGAAGCCACATGAGGAAATTCAGTACCCTAAAAGCATAAAACTAACCCAACAAACAGAAAATGTCATGGTTGAGCTATTAAAGTTAATGGGACAATCCAAAAAGGGCTTTAAAATAAATACACTTAAAATAATACATATCTTATTCAAAATTCAAGCAAAGCAGAAGTACAGAAAGTGAAAGTTTTCTCCATAATTTTAACTCCAGATAGAAACTGCTGCTCAAATTGTGGAAAACCCTGCCAAATTCAATGATGCCTTTATACAGAGACAGACATCTTTACCTAAATGGAAACATACTATACCTACTGTGTTATAACCTACCCTTCTCATTCCCTTTCTACTTTAAAATATTATCACATTTTTCCACATAAATACATATAAGTCTCCTGCATCCTCACAAAGGAAAAATTATATCCCATCACATTAATACAGTTTCTTTAGCCAGTGTCCCATGAATGGACATTTGGGCTATTTTCAGCTTGTTCTCCTGCAGCCATCTTTGTACATATGGATAATTATTTCCTTAGGCAAGTTCCTAGAGAAAAAATTATTGGACCCAAAATTGCACACATTTAAAATTTTGATAATGATTATCAAGCTGTCATCCAGAAAAGCTATAAGAATTTACATTATTGAATTGCTTTAGATGTATGTATTTCTAGCCACAGGTTTTTTAAGGTAGATTTTGAGTGGATCAATTTACCAGAGATTCAATTATATACCCAAGAAAAGAGAAGATGGCTCACTACTCCACTAGCCTCTAAATGCAACAGAAGGGAAAATGTAAATGTGTTTGTACTTGTACAACATAAGTCCACATTGTCTAAGGCACAGACGCTTCAGGGGTTGTGATGCTGCTGACATCCATAGTAATCACACTATAGTGATTTTAACTCTGTTCCCCCAGCAGCCACTGTCATTCCCTAGTCCTCCCTTTAAACAAGTGAAAAAATTTTTTATGTAAGCTTTACTAAAGCCTCTAGTCTGCTCACCCCTAAACATGATGGCAGTGTGAAAAACCCAGAATCTCCTTTCAACTTCATTTGTTGGGGATGGGTGTTCACTGTAGATGATTTGCATAAACTCAAATGAATCTGGTTTCCAACATGTGGTTTGTTCCAGAAGAAAGGCTCATCATACACACTCATTGAAGTATGTTTTCAGCAAAGCAACTATAAAGTGCTTCAGAGGCAAAGACCCAAAATTTCAGGATTCACAACAATATCACATATTCAAGATAATTCAGAAATAGAATCGTATCAGATTTGAATTGATTTTTTTATATTTCCAATCCCTTTACAAATAAAAGACACACAAAAGAAATGTTTAAAGTTGAATTAAAATCAGACAAATATCAATAGTTAACTTTTCTGTCTACTCTAAATTTTAATATTTTAAGCATCCTTTAGAAAATATTTCACTCAGAGAAAGTCTATTTATCTTCCTAAAGAGGACCCTTAAGCCTTCTTTTCCTGGCTCTTTCAAGATACCCATGTAGCAACATGGATTGATCAGGTTTAGCTGTCTTAACACGGTTCACTCATTTCCAATGCTGCTCACAAACCAGACTTCACTGATCATCGGTCAATATCCTATGAGTTGCCATTTCTCTTAGCTAAAATGTCCAGTGTAAAATGCCTGCAATATATTTCTTGGTAATCATTCCCCATTCCCTACCACACACACATACTTAATGTCAACAATTTTTAATTATCCATAGTAAAGAAGAAAAGGAAGAGCAGTAATTATTCAAAACTGTAGTTAAAGCAAAAAAAACCTCACGTATGATTTTGGAAGACATTATTTGGAGGAGAAGGGAGGTGGTTATTGTACAACAACAAGTGACCTTTTTCCTTAAGATTTTTCTTCTGTGGTTACAACATTTGCTTTCCAACGCATGCATACATTCATTCACTCAACCACCATTTGAAAGCACATTGTCTTGGAGGGAATACACAAAAGGAGAAACAAAACTATATGAAGATTAACTTCCTCAATGTCTAAGAGGAAAACTGACATGAGTATCTTAAACAACACTGTGCCCCCAACATGAACATCTGCGTTGATTTCAGACAAATACCCAGGTAGGGCTAGTTCCATTGTAAGGAGCCTTTAGAAGAGATTGTCCTTACTAAAAAATTACCTACCCCACAGAACCCAAGTTTCCGTGCATCTTCACCAACGCCTATTTTGTCAGTTCTATACCTACGTTTAGGTTGAAGATTGGAAAAGAACTAAGTATCCTACAGCAGAATAAAATAATTTTCTCTTTCATTGGTTAGGGTTCTATTTACTATTGTCTACCTCGCAAGATTGTTACAAGGACACAATAAGTCTATAGATCAAGAGTCCTTCAAACAGTACCTGGGATATACTTGCATATTTCGTAAAATATCAGCTATTACTAATTAACAATACCTGTAAGCACAAGCCTCTTACACTAACACAGTACTGGGACTTTTATAAAATGCTTTCACAAGCATGCAATTGTTTGATCTGCTCAATCTAATAAGAAGTTATTTTATGACTGATTCACTTGTGTAGATAAAGAATTTGCAACTCAGAAAGTGACATGACTTGCCCAACACCATAGAGCGGTAAGTCTGAGCCTGGCAGATTAATCTTTTAGCTTTAAGTCCAGGGCATTCTTCTCTATAACCTCAGAGACTCACACTATGAGATGGGCCACTAATGTGTTTCCATTTCATTCCAAAGGGAATACAGTTAACATTTTCCCTTATAATTATTTATCAGCAAGATACAGTGCTCATTTGACCACAGATACAACAGTAATTAGTGAAAGCACTATCAGCTCTTCTCTGTGGCTGGACCACACCATATCAAGGCTGCAGCTTTCAAATCTCCATAATTAACTGGAATGTTACGCACCTTAGCAGTCTCAGCTTCTGCCTGCAGTCGCCTGGGGGTTCCTTTCTGGTCAGGTACCTTCTGGAAATTTTTATTTTTAATGGATTGAGATTCCACACCTTCACCTTCAATCTGGAGTTTAATACCTTCAGCACGGGCAGGGTGATCAATACCCCGTGGATTCAAACCACAGTGGAGAGCTAGGAAAGAGCAACAAATAGAACTCAGAAAACCAACCATACAAAGAAGGTGTCCATGACAGAAAATATTTCATTGGGCCCAAAGAGGATAAAAAACAAGGCATCTGTGAGTCGAAAGGTGGGGTGATTACTACAAGAAATAATATGGAGACAAGGAAGCATGGTATAGTGGGAAACCCTGAGCCTGGAAATCAGCAAGATTTAGGTGCAAATCCAGAAGCCCTCAATTCCAAGTTGTTTGACTTGCGGCAAGTACAAATCCCCACATTACAGATGAGAATCAGGCAACGTTGTTACTGCTTTCCACACATGCAATTATGTCAACCCTGTGGTTTAGTTTACATCTCTGACTCCATCTGAAAAGTGCTCCCCCTCTCTCCTTGGGAACTTCTCTATTATTTAAGCATTCCCTCAAGTCCACCCTCTTGCATTCATTCAAGGAATATTTCTTAAGCATTTACTGTGTGCCATCCCTGGGTTAGATGCTGGAAACATAAATGTACATATGACAGATGTTACCTTCAAAGAACTCACAATGTAATAAAGGAGGCAAACAAAAGGACTGGTGATTTTAAAACAGAATTGTCACTTCTGTGTGGCAGAGAAGAAAAAGCCAGAGTAGAGGGATCAAGGGCATCAAGCTCAATGGCTTCTAGTTTTTTGCATCTTACTCTCTCCATGTTCTGTAACATAGATATTCCACAAATAAAATCTAAAACTGAGGGATATAAATCTGAGGATATTTATTCATCTAACAAATGCTTACTGAGCTCCCCTGCCCCATGTACCCTGTATTATCAAATAAATAGCAGTGAATGTTGTAAGATCCATGCATTCCACTACATGAAATACCATGTATGTCTGTGTGCACATGGCAGGTGTGTGTGTTTTGACTTCTCGGGTAATAAACTATTTCATTTCCCTGTGACCCCAACTCTTAAAATTAAGGTAAATTCCTATCCTCATCCCCTTTCCTTTATTCTCAGAGAAGTTAAGGCCAGATACTTAATACCCCTATCTTCCTCAGGTCTCCACTTCATCAATAATCTCCTTTCACCCAACATTTTTAGGCTTTCCCCTTTCTCAGCATTCTTCCCCTCCAGCCAGCTTCTGTGATTCCAATAGTCCAACTCTCTACTCGGCACTCCGTTCAGGCCACAGTTTCCTCTTTGCCCCTTCTTTGCCAGGATTCTGACGAGTACTTTACACCTGAGGATGAGACAGCCTTCCCAAGAGAAATGACATGTTTTCCTCCCATTCTCCGCTCCCTCCTTAATAGGGCCATCTATTCCCATGTTCCCAATCAACATTCTGGTGACTCCCAAATATTAACTTCAGCCTAGACAGACCTTTCTCATGCAGACAAGTAAAACTATAGCAGAAACAATTTGCCTATTCCAGTCTTCCCAAATTAGACAGAAGCTGATGAGCCATCCTTAACATCACTCTATGATTCATCACTTCCCTTCCATCTATCAGCAAATCCAATAGCTCTATACCCAACATACTGCTCAAATATTGAATGAATGACATTTTTTTTTAAAAAAGCAAACTGCACAAAGGTCCAAATGCATGTGATCTTATTTGTACCCCTTTCTGTGTACATCATTTATAAATTTCATCTAGTCTTTGAGCTTCCTATTTGGTGGTACATTCTGGGCACTTAACATTTATTAGTTCATATCTCCCTTTTCAGGCTTTGTTATGAATCTCAAATAATCTTCATGAGAAACTCTGAGACATAATTATATTCATTTCACAGATTAATATAATGAGGCTCAAAGGGGTTAGGATCAAAAAAGGCCATACTATACTAGTTTATACAGAAAAGTCACCGAAATTATGGAGCATTTAGGATGCACATGATTTCATATTACAGATGGAAAAATCCAAACTGGATTAAACAGTAAGGAAAATTATCAACTGTCAGAACAAGAAGTCCAGTGATGGTACAAGTTCAGAATTAGCTGATTTTAATCATCAAGTGTCATCAAGCATTGTGATTTTTTTCATCTCTCCATTCTATTATCCACACCATCACCTGTATCCTCAACCTGGGTCCCTTTGCAGCATCTAGACTACAAGCTTTTCATTTTCATTTCGCAGCAGAAAGGGCTTGGTTGATTATGGCTCTTTTTCTCCCAAACATCCTTCAAATTTTATTTTCTTTTTTCATGGGCCACAAGTGAATAACATGCCTATTACCGAACTAACACCCTGGCAGTGGAAATAGGATTACCCTTAAACCAACTGACCAGCTCAGAGGGTCAGCTCCCCAAACCACACTTCTGCTACTCAAGAGAGCTGTAGCAGAATAGATGCTGGGGAACCAACCACAATGCCCATGTTAGGCAGTGCTGGAAAGAGCTCAGCAGACAAAGCCTCTGAGAGCATGAAGCTAATTACTGTTAATATCAATCAGCTTCTCCATCTCCGAAGACTAGCCTACTTACAATGAATGTTCAATTAAATACACCGAAGTTGTGATTATCTTTAAAAGGTGTGCTTGTGTAGGGAGATGGGGGATTGGCATGGGATGGATTCAGCCATTAACGAAGAAAAGAAAAATGTAGCTTTCATTTTCTGTCTAGCTTTACCCTCTGTTGCTTCCTACCTTGAAATTCATGACTTAGGAAAACCACTAAACTACTGGTGACCTCTTATTCTCTTCCCCTATCATCTCCCCACCAAATCTGACTCTCATACTTCCTTCACATCTGCTCATGCAGGTCCCACCACCTAGCAACGCTGGCCCTACTGCAACCCAATCCTATCTCCTCCTCTTTGGGAAGCTAACGCCTATTCACTTCATGTCAGCTCAGACCTCTTCAGAAAGCCTTCTAGGAGTCTCTGGCTACCAGAGCAAGAACCCATTCCTTATGCTCCCTCATGCACACCGTCCCCTGGTGCTTCATTTTCCTCACAGTACTGAGAATGTCCATGTAATTGATCTGTCTGCCTTGCCCAACATAACTGTAAGCTCCTGGAGGGCAGGTACCATCCCTTTTTCATCTCCATGACCTCCATTCTTGAGTCCAGGATCTGACACATAAGAGACATTAAGGAAATACTTTTTCAGCTGCAGAATAAACTAGCAATCCCCTTCCTTTACACAATCATGCCTTAAATCAGAAGGAATTCTTTCTCTGCTAGTAAATAATTGGCATTCAAAATGTAAGGTGTCTATAAACAGGAAGCAGAATACAGTTTTTTGACTTTCCACACACGTAGCCTCATTCTTCACACAGATATTTTAATCCTCCATAGATGTTCCTTCCTCACTGCAAACCCAGTAGTTGATTTAGGTTTTTGTGCTTAGGCTTATTTATTTAAATCCATTTTTGACAGGCTTTGTTTTGTTTTCCCTGAAATTCAATGTCCGTAATATTTACAAATCAAGCAACTTTCCAATGGCTTCTTACAATGCATGACCTCCATCTCTTTGCTTGTGTCAAAGCTGTCCCCATTTCTCTTTTCTGTGCTCATCACTACACTTTCTTATTTTTACTTTTTACTTAATTTAATGGGCTTGGCAGCTCACCAGTTGGCTCTGAGACCCTCTTCTTGTTTCCCTGATCTTCATCACCACTCCTGTGCCTGACGGATGCCTAGTTATTTAACTGATACTGTAGGCAGCTTGTGGTCTTTCTGGGAAGTGCTGCTGCTGTCAGTTTTGCTTAATTTGAATGTCACAAATACTGAATTCTTCAAAATGAAGAGTTACAAACCAAAATGAATTTCACAAACAGTGTTCTTTAAAAAATTTAAGAGAGAAATGTTTCACTGCAAATGCACATATTTTAGCATTGTTTTGAGATGCCGTTTTGAAGGCACCATCTTTCTTTCCATGTGTAAAACCTACTTCCCCCCAAAATTGAAAACCAAGTGCATTGCTGGTGGGAATATAAAGTGATACACCCCCCGGCAGAAAACTGTATGGTGGTTTCTCAAAAAATTAAACATAGAAGTGTCATTAGATCCAACAATTCAACTTCTAGGTATATATACACACACACACAAAACTGAAAGCAGGAACTCAGATATTTGTATGCTCACGTACATAGCAGCATTATTCATAACAGTCAAACAGGCATAAAAGCCAAATGCCTGTGGATGCATGAATGGATAAACACAATGCGATACATATAATGAAATATATTGCAGCCTTTAAAAGGAATGGCATTCTTATCCATGCTACAACATGCATGAACCTTGAAGACATTATGCTAAGTGAAATATGCCAGACAAAAAAGGACAACTATTGGATGATGCACTTATACAAATTAGTCAAATCTATAGAGAAAGAAAATGGAGCGATGCTACACAGGGGCTGTGGGAAACAAAATGAGAAGCTATTGGTTAGTTATGGGTATAGTGTTTCACTCTGGGATGATGAAAACTCTCCAGAGATGGATGGTGGCGATGGTTATATGATAATGTGAATGTACCTAATGCCACTGAACCATACAACTAAAGATTATTAAAATGATGAATTTAATGTATATTTTACCACATAAAAAATAAAATTTAAAAACCCTACTCCCTCTCATTTCAACTCCCTAATGCCTCAATAAATGGAAAGAGAAGTGCCAAAAATATTTATATTCAAAGGTTTGAGAGTTTATTTATAAGTAACACTATCATGATTTTTACCTAGAATGTTACTTTGTTTTTTTAAATAAAAGGGTAAAAAATTATAGCTCAAACATATGAGATTACTTCAGAATTTTCCTAGAAAGGAAATGTCCTCCAAAACAGGTCTTATCCTAATCAGGAGAAGCAGGGCTGGGATTGCTGATTGCTGGAAATGAGCCTGGGCTCTCTGGGGCTTAGTGGCTGAGGGATGTCATTCTCATGTGATTTAGGTGACAGTCACAGGCTATCTGCAATGAAGTGCCAGGCCTCGTTTTCTCTCCTCACAGTGATGCAAGAGGAGTTGAGGGATGCACTGGCATCTGCAGTCATTCCCAAGAACAAGTGCATCTTACTCTCCAGAAAGC